GAGCTCAGGCCTGGGCCCTGCGGGCTTGCAAACCTGTGAGACCGATTGGCACTTCTGATTTTCCAAAATGAGCGAGAAAACCCCATTACCACCAGAATCCACCGTACAACAGCCAGGGGCACCACGGGGGACTAGCTAGCACAGGGACGAAGGGTGGGGGCTGCCGAGGACTCCACAGAGTGGGGGGCGTCGAAGACATGCGCAGACTGGCTGCTCTGCTGGGTGCTCTGACCTCGGGGCTGGGCAACTGCCGCCGAGGGGCCCTTCTGAGCCTTCTTTCTCTTTTCCTTTACTGGAACCGCTTGGAAGGAGCTGTCTTATTTGTGAGAAACATGCAGAAAGATGATCAAGCTTTTCATTTCTCTCAATTGTGGTTTTATTTCCTTTTTGCAGCACCACTGTGCAACTATGCATTGTACTTCACAACCTTTGTGCTAGGTAGATGCCTGTGACTTTTTAACATGGGGGGTGGGGGGCTTGCAAATGAAGGAACTTTTTACATGAATCTTTTTAATCTCAGTTGATTGGGGGAGGGGGGTATTTGGTTCTAGGGTCATACAAGCTCTATCCCAAAGCAAAATCCAAATGTTAATAATATTAGCCTGATGCAGATACCAAAGATAATTTCTTTCCTGCAGAACCTTAGACTTGTGTATTAAGTACGATTACCCAGCACTTGCATTAGTCTAACCTCAGTAATTCCAAAGCTTAGATGTATATTTTGGTATATTTCTGGGATATTAAAAAAAAATGTCATTTAACTTCTTGTTTGTTTCAGTGTAATGCTCTTAAAGTCATAGCATGAAAATAATTGAACTGTCCTATTCTTAGTAGTTTGAAATAATAGTATTTTTGTATGTTTCGGGTGTGTCTATGTATGTATTAACATAACAGTTTTCACTGCCTAGGTGTTCATAATAAAAAAAAAAATGAAAAAGTTCTGAGTGTACATAATATTCGATAATAATCTTCCACCAGGTGTCAATTTGGATTGCATATTTCTGATTGCTGTTCCCAGATGAGATTTTGTTTTAAGGAGACAGTGATCGTGTTTTTCTAGAGATGATTTCTTTCTCTCTGTCTTTAAATACCTTAACTCCCCCACCTTTTCTTTTCTTTCTTTTTTTTGTTTTTAATTATTAATTCAGGGGTGTTTTTCCACTGTTGTCCAGGGAGGGACACAAGGGGAATTGGTCCCTTGGCCTCCCCAAGCTTTCTGTTTTATGTACTTTAAAATGTGAGTTTGAGTTCTTTTTTGTGGAAACTTACGATGTGGTGTACATGATTCTTTCCAAAATTGCCCAGCAGCTTTAATGAGGCAGTGACAACTCCTAGGTAGTTATTGGGAGTCTCTACAGTCTGGGCGGCTGCTGTGTGGCCTCACTGCCCTAGAGCGCCTGTTCAGCGGTGTCCCCTGATTGGAGCGCTTTCCAAGAATCAGCTGACTTGGAATGCTGGACCTTGTTTTCTGTGCCCTTAGGAAACACACGTTTTCTTGGTTTTGAAAACCTGAAACACAAGCAGCTTTACATTTTGGGGGATTAGCTGATACCTCCTGAGGCCTGAGAGGGTAGCGGGGAATATGAGCGGTGCTGTCTCTTTCAAAGTGCCCTTTCTACGATTCCCCCTCCTGGGGCTCCTGCAGGGGCTGTGGGCTTGGGAGAGATTGTGTAGGTGACAGTGAATCAGAATGAAATGGTAGGTTTTGTGTAGATGCATTTGTCTGCTGTAATTTTTTTATATATATATTAAACTTACTGTAACTGTACAGTTCATTTCTGTTGTAAAACATCATTAAACCATTTTCCAAGTGTTTTCACATTGTTTGGGCTTCTTTGAAGTTGTCACGTTGGTATCCGGATGCCTCCCACACGCATGCTCGCGGACTGTGCCCAGAAGCTTTCCACGTGACTTTTCTAATAGGTTCTCTCAGGAACCCTGAACACCTATGTGCATTGGTTTCCCCCCACCCCCACTCAGCTTCCTCTGTGCTCCAGGGTGTACTGTGGCCAGTGCATTCCCCCCTCTGTGTGACTTAGCAGTACCCCAAGTTGAGTGACAATAGTCTCCTTCCTACCCAAGTGCTTTGTGTGATCAAATTCACAGGCCCTTGATTGATTCTGCAGGAGAACTCTTCAAAGCTCCTGGCTGGCTGTGCATTGACTGCAGAACTGGGATTGAACTCCACTTTTACCCATTCATTGCCATGCCCCTCTGGCATTTTTTGCCTAGTCCTGAATTTCTTTCTCTGGGGGCATCCTCTGGAGGAGGCTAATCCTGAACTTGGCATCTGGTGCTTCTGTTGAAGACTGCACAACGTAGCTCCCTCGGACTAATTATGCTACTTAGCATTTAGGGTCTTGACACAATTTGTTGATTTCATCAAAAGGAAAGTTTGACTCAAAATGAATTTCCCACAGAGAAAGAACTTTGGGAAGGTCCCTTTCTGTCACGTGCTGGCAATCTGATGGGGTGTTCTTGAATTCGATGGTGGGGAGAGCTGTTGTCAAGATGTGCTTTCTGTCCTAGAAAGGGACCAACATGGGAATGCACATAATTGGGCTCTTCTTCCCTGCTGGTGTGTCAAAGAACTTCTCATTCTTTTCCATTCTATCGCTTCTTATGTTTATGCTTACATTTAATTTTGTAGAGCAATTCTCTTAATAATGTCAGGTTTTCAACAGAAACCCTTTGGTAGAGACAGTCATGCTCACTAACATAAGAAAGACTTCAGCAAGCAGAACTCATCTGTCATGTCCTGAGGAGCGAGGATAAAATACTGATTAGATTCTGTTACCCAGTAACCTTTTTTAAAGAGTTGTTCTGGTCTAACCCACTTCCAGGGATATATACAAAGCTGAATTATCTATGGGAGAATGTGATACCTGCCCTTCTTTTTGGAGAACTTTTTCTCTCTTCAAAGGCCAGGAGTTGAAGTTGTAGGACACCTGCAGTTAGAACTCAGTCATGGGTTCACAAAAGTAGTTGTCATCAACAACTGAAATGTTCAGTCGCAGCAACCAGAAGACATCACAAGTTATTTATGGACAGAACAATGTCTGCAGCTAAATAGTCAGCCAAGTGACAAGGCTTCAAATCACCTCTGGAGTTGTCCTCTAAGCCCAAATTGGTCCTCTGCCCTTTTTTCCCTGCCAAGACTGGCTTCCGTGCTCTGTTTACAGGAAACTTGTGAACCAGGAACCTTGGGTCTTATTCCAAGAATAAGCTTGAATCCTACTCTAAGAAGAAAATTGATCAGAAATATCCACACTCTACCTCTGACTTTAGTGACATTGAAGTGATAAATGTTTGAAAACTATTGACAGCATTCATCTTAATATATAACTATACATATATATAATGTCTTGGTTTCTCTATATGTCCTTGGTTCTAAGACACTTGTTCATATTTTAACACATGAAACAAAGCTACGTCTTACAGTGGATACTTACATCTAGCATAGTGTTGTTTTTTTTCCTTGAAATAAGTGGATGATACATCTTAGCATCAACAATGTCTTGAGATGGAGGGAATTCAGTCATGCTCTGGAGAGGGCACCGCCAGACCTTAAGAAGGGCAGGAATCCTGGCAACTCCAGGGCTTTCCACTCCCACCTTGAGCCTAGGGCTTGGCTCTCAAGAGCTTGGGTTTTTCAGTCCTGCTTCTGTGTAAGCACATCTGGGTTCTGCCCCAGCTATGAGTGTGGCTACCATGCACATAGCCTGACACACTCCCACCCCAGGTTAGCTCCACTACAGCTCACTGCCAGCCATCCTTGCCTCTTGAGATTGTTCTTGACAAAATTGGGTCAAACTCTCTTATTTTCATGCCAGACATGCAGGTCGCACAGCCTGTATATAACTCAGCTGAACTTGAAACTAGTACGAGCCCTAGATTGAGGCTCACCCTTCGCCTATATAAATGAAACAGACTTCAGTTTTAAAGGCCCATTGAGAAGCAGAATTCCCCTGAGACTGAGGTCCCAATCCCATGCCTTCTCTTTGCAAGTTGCCTGTGAACTGCTACAACTGCCTGGCAGTGATACGCACTGTTCCTGTTGGAACTCCAATTCTCATAGGCTTTTTTTCTTTTTTTTTGATTTGCTGTCTCTGTCGCCCAGGCTAGAATGCAGTGGCACAATAAGGGCTCACTTGCAGCCTCGACCACCTGGGCTCAGGTGATCCTTCTGCCTCAACCTCCTGAGTAGCTAGGACTATAGGCACATGCCACCATGCTCAGCATTTTTTTTTTTTTTTTGTAGAAACAAGGTCTTACAATGTTGCCTGGGCTTGTCTTGAACTCTTGGGCTCAAGCAATCCTCCTGCCTTGACCTTCCAAAGTGCTGGGATTGTAGGCATGAGCCACTGCACCCTGCCTTCAGAGGCTTTTAGCAGTCATGGTCTTGGACTTCTCTTTGCAAAACAATCAAGATATAGATTTCAAAGTCTTTTTGCAATCTGAATTGGTGGGATTGGTACACCAGGGCCTTATGATAGTCGCTGCAGTGAGAGGAGATAACACAGGGACACGGCCACCTTTTGTGAGGAAAACCACCTTTTATGAGGAAAACCGGTCTAAAAGACCTCTGCAGTGCTCCACCCTTCCCCAAACCCTGTGCACCAAGACACGCTGGCTGTGGCAGCAGCTGTGGGTGACTCCTGCTAACTCCCTGCTTGTGTGTTACCTCTTCCCGTGCTGAGTGCTGGGCAGTCTCTCTGGCTTGTTGACCCGTGCTCTGTGGGTGGACACCACGCCCTGGGCCACTCGCCCATCACCTTCTCCGGGCTCTGACGTAAAGCCTCAGCCCATCCCAACATGTGTCAGACCAAGTCTCGCTCTTTCTGTGCCCTGGTGGCCAGGCTTACCTTGCCTCCTACCACGCTGTCCCACTCTGTCCTGAGAATCAGCTGGTTCATACCTCTCACCCAGGGTTAACCCACTGCCTAATGACTAAATTACCAGGCCAGGCCTGACTGCCAAAATCAAGCTTGGAGTCAAGCAGCGTTTTCATTGAAGCATTTATTATGCACAACACCAAGGCTCTAACAAGCCAGTATAAATTAAACACAAGCTGAGCAGAGAGCATTCTACCCACAGCCACACACCCTGCAATACTAAAGTATGTTTGTTGACTGAGCTGTTGCCTGTCCTGCCATTGTCCACCACACGGAGTCTGCTTTCGAGACCTTCTCGATGCAGCGCCACTCACTGGAAGCGTGAGGCCAACCAAGGGCCTGAGAAGAGGCCATCTTGCTCCCCTCTCTGTATCCCACCCTCCTGCTTTTTTCATACTGTGTGGTGCCACAGACTATGTTTTTTACACCAGTTTGTGCCCACCTTGGCAAGGCCACCTTGTGCATCTTCCAGTCCCCGTAGGGCCCTCGCAGGTCTCTGGCTGACCCTCCATTCACTCCCCTGCCCTCTCCCCTTCCCCACTGACCGCCTCCTCCACCCCAGAGCACACCTGCCCCGGCCCCCTTCCTATCTGCCTCATCCAGCCCTCCCACAGGGAGGCACAGTTACAAGTTACTTTGGAAGGAGCGGAAGGAGAAAACGAAGCCACATTTACAGCCGTCGCAAAGCCGCTCAAATACCAACAGAACCACACAGACTGCAGACTATTAGCATGTGTGCAACATCAGGGTTGCTCTGGGACTTTGCAAACAAGATTCCACGGCTCAGCTGAGGGGGAGCGTGCCATTTCCCCATGAGCATGGAGCACCAGGAGAGGGTCTGCCTACAACCAGCAAACCAAAAGGCCACAACCATAACCTGGGGGCACACTCTCTCAGTCCAGGGACAAGGCTCTGCGAGCAATGGCTGGGATTAGATATGACCAAAGCTTCCTGTTCATAAAGAGGGATCCCGTGGCAGGCTGAGAAATAGGAGTGAACCGGGTGGCAGGTGCTTCTCCTGGCCCTCACAGCCCGGGTGTCTGCAGGTCTGGCCTGTGCGTGGTGGGATCCCCCGGCTGTTAGCGAGGGGGCAGGGTCTGCATGTGGAGGGCATCATAGGTGTCCTTGGTGGCCGTGCTGAGCCCCTGGTGACAGCAAATCAGAAAAGAAGAGTGGGTCAGGAGCCGAGCAGAGGCGTCCCCACAGCACAGTCCCAGGCCCCCCTCCCGCCCAGCGCCTCTCCCCACGGGTGGGCAGCCTGGGCCAAGAGGGCCACGGCTCCTGTGCCCCGCTGGGACAGGCCTTGCAGCAGTTCCCTCCAGCTGAATTCTCACCCCTCCTCCCAGCTTCCCAAGTACTGTGCCCTACTGCGCATGGCCCCGCCAACTTCCAGTAAACCCAAACAGGAAACAGTCTCCCAGCTTGAATCCTGGAGTCCCAGGGGAAGGACCCAAGCCTGCGCCACAGAATCTGCTGTCCCTGACACCTGGGCCTATAGAAAGCCTGGAGTGGCCACAGGGAGAGAGCAGTGGCTCCTCAGCCTCAGCCTTCCCCTGCAAGTCTCCTTCCCAGGCCCAGCTATTCCGGAATGTTCTTTGTCAGGGAACAGGTAGGCGAGGCTGGGCCCAATCTTGCTGGAGGGGCCAAGAAGGGGATGGGTCATCAGTGGCCACAACAGAGAAGTGTTTGGGGCCTTTTTTTTTTTTTTTTTTA